TTCTGACCATATACTTTGTTTATTCTTTGAACTTTATAATAATTTTCTAGTGTTTTTAAGGCCTTGACGGATGTGACTAGATGTAAGTTATCTTATGGCAGTATTAAGGGCCAAAAGGAGCCATTCCATGTAGTCAGACAACTGTATGGTGTGTCAAAGACCTGTAAATTCTAAATATATCCACTTGGAGGATACATGGTAGTGTGATCGCTATCGTATCAAATTATTCAAGCACAAAAGGATAAAAGTTATGTGAATTTGGATATATGTGTGTATGTCAAAATGGCGACCAAAAGTGACTGTTTCGTATAACAGTACAAATTTTGGAGGTAAGGCATGCACCACTATTTAATGAAATCAAACATTAAAATATATACCTGTTGGGGTTCTCGTTTTACTTGTGACTAAATACTTTTGAAATCTTTCTATGTAGATAATGCTATGTGTTATAGATTGTAGGACTTATATAAATTTTATGCTGGGTATTCGTGGAAAGATGGTGTTGGTGGGCCAAAGAATAGATGGTGTGCCAATACTGATCATAAGTCAGGAAAAGCGCAAAATTTCAAAACATGACATACATACATGTCTAAGTATATTTACTTATGAATACGCAGTAAATCTTTACATTTAAAACAGTATAGTATATCTATATGGAAACCTGCCCCGTTTGCTGTAACAACAAACTAGATCCCAGATCTCCCTACGGAACATGATTGCGTGACAGAGTCGAGTACAATCAGGTTGAGATTGATATTAATGTTCTCTGACAAGCTGTGCTTGTTTTTTATGTATGGTCTCATACGACAATAATTACAAAAATGTATAGTTGCAAACCCTATTTTGACCCTATAGTAATTTTAAAGGCTGGTTAAAGGCACTCTAAGGTTTAATACATACATTGTATTTCAAGATGTCGCACTGCCATGCCCCCTACTGCATATATCACATTATATCAAACCCAAATGTTATCTTTTCCATGTGCGGTATAGCTATATGAATAAATTATTCTTTATGCATTGCCTACACAGGTACACTATATCAACAAAATCGTACACATGCATATAGAATTAATTTCTTCTTTAACATACATACATTGCTACAAAACTTTGATACACCTTTGCTGGCATCATCCGTAGACGTATGGATCGGGGTACCCAGGTGTAAAGGGGCATACTAATCATAAGCTCCGAGATGCTCCACCTGGTGGATTAGGTATTCCAAAATCATCCATTTACATACATTCATGTAACGCAAAAACGCTTTTTCTTCCGGGGGATAGGGGGGGGGGGGCAGAACTATGGAATAGCTGAATCTGATTGCACTCTAGATAGTTTCAAAAAACTATTGAAAGCTAAATCTATTATATTATGACTCTTTCAAATACTAATGATGCTTAAATTCTAGAATGCAATCAAGTTTTATTGAAGGGCTCCTCGTCCTTTGATAAAAGAAATATAATAATAACTCAAGGACTCAAGGACTGCTTTCCTTTAAAGAAAAAACTAAAATTATAAAGAAAAAATATTACATCAAAAAACTTCAATTTTTGACAGCGCCCAATGCAACAGGCTGAGGATGGTATAACATAGTATCATCATGGTTTTTTTATCATTTCAAATAGAAAAACATTGTTTTTTACATTATTATGATTTAGATCCTTTTTTTATCGCTAAGTATGTAACGGGGAAGGAAGGAATTGAAGAAGAAAAAGTTAATGAGGCTGAATGACGCAAATTTAGCAAAAAATTACACAGTTTTTCAACTCAATGCGTGGAATAGCCTTTAACTTTTGTTTTCACCCCTTTTGCAAATCAAACCAGCAAATGGAAAAATACTGACATCATCAAAAAATGCTAACATCAGCAAAATCGGAAAAATAATGTACCAAATGAAAGGCCTGTATTTATGGGGTGCCGTTACCGCCAAATTGTACAAATGCTTTTTTGCAAAATTGTACCTTGCATTTATAAAATGGTATCATCTTTTTTCTGAAATTGTACCTTCTGTTTCACCAAATGGTACCTAGTTTCGAATAATGGTACCCTCTACTTTCTAAAATAATACCTTTTGCTTCATTAAATTGTACCTCGTTTGAAAAAATGGTACCCGCTGTTTTTTAAAATGATACTAGTTGTTTTGTGAAATGGTACTCCTATGCTATAAAATGGCACTTTCTTCTTTGTAAGATGTTAGTCTCTGATTTATAAAATTGTACTTCCTGTTTCATAGCATGGTAGATTTTGTCTTAACCTGATATCCTTTTATTATTTGGAGCCTTGAACTACCAAACATAGAGTATCAAGAGTACTAAGACACAATAGGCCCGAGGACCTTAAATGACTTCTTTTGAAAGCACAATGGAAGCGCTCATAGAAACAGTACGCCAAAGTATCGAGAAGGCGTGTTTTGGTTTAAATGCTAATAACAATATTGATTTTGGTGATGTTTTAATAACTGTTGATTTTGTTGAGGATGCCATCAGATTCATTGCCTCAGTAGTACGCTTGCCTGATAACATCGATTCAGACGCTCTAGCTAGGGAACCATTAACCTACAATGGACACTAGGGTAGACCATGTTTTGACATTTCGGAGCTGCAGATTTTGTCTCTACTGGATTTGGGGTTCTCTGTCCCGCAAATCAGCAGCCTGTTGCATGTTTCTACGAGGACAGTTGAAAGACGAATTTCATTTTACGGCTTGACGGCAAGGGGGCACAGCCAAATTCCAGATTTCCAAACTGTGGTTCAAAGGTCCTTGCAGATTACCTTGGTATAAAGATTTCGAGGGAAAGTTCGACAGTGTTTACGAAGAGTCGATCCTATTGGTGTAAATGTTCCGACTGAAAAGAAGCAGTGGCATCACTTGCCGGGGTATTTGAAACTGTTGTCGTTGGAGTTGAAGAAAGCTGTGATACAACCCTTGAAAAAAGTCGAGCAGCATCTGCAAGTTCTTTATCCACCATTACTGTGGCTGGGCACACACCGAGACACCACGCTACTGCTCTGTGCTGCTCTGCTGTTTCCAAGACTCCAGAAAAATATCACTTTACAAAACAGAGGGGTATCATTTAACGCAGCAGAAGGTACCATTTTACAAAACTAATGGTACCATTTTATAAAACAGAGGGTACCTTAAATGAAACAAACGGGACAATTTTAGAAATCAAATGGTACAATTTTTCAAATGTGACATGACGTAATCGATCACATCACTTAAATTAGGCACTTGCTTAGTTTGTCACAACAATTTCCCTGTCTATAAGAAGTTTTGCTTGATCGAGTAGATTCGGGAATGCTCAGAAAGGCAAGGTTTGTAGAAGTGAAGGCAACTAATTGCATACCCATGGTATCAGAGCCTCAGTGGACCCCACTATTCAATCTTCTTCTTTCATTGATTCACACAAGGATTGAGTTCAAAAGGTTTGAGGGTTAAGACCTCCAGACATGGCGCCGCTGGGGGCTTTGGGAGTTGAAGCCCCCCCTCTTCACTCTTTTTCAAGATGAAAAATGTTTTACCGTCCTTCTATTACTTTTGAAAACAGAGTATGAAAAAAAGAGAACAGTTGAATTGTCTATCTTGAGCAGTTAAATATTTTGTTAAAATTTGGTCTGGAAGATGCTTTTTTAGCCATTCTAGAAGGTATAATTTCAAAAAGATTCTTGCATGCAGAGGCGTAACTTGGCCAATAGGTTTGAGGGGGTGAAAAGGGTTTCTGCCCTGCAAAATGAGTGGTGCCCTGCAGACCTCGTAGCAAAGGTTTGTCTATAGGTAACTAGTGAAATCTTTACCAGTGTAAATTTGTCTTTACCAAGAACAAACTTCTAAGCAATAAATACAAACTTGAAACTTCATTGCCTATGAAATATCTATTCTTTTTAAGTGAGCGTAAATTAAATGTCAAATTTGATTTTCCTTTGTAATAAAGCGTATATTTCATGACATATCAAGTTTAATGAGGTAGGAGGACCCACCTGTTGGGTCCGACGCGAAGAAAATTTTTGAAATTATACCTTGTAAAAGGGCTAAAAAGCATCTCCCAGACTAAAGTTTAGCAAAATACTATACTGCTAAAAAACTGATTATTGTTTATTGGAAAATTAGAGAGGGGGGAGGAAAGAAACGGTAACCTTTCATTTAAGATTGCACATAGTTGTGAATGACAGAGCAATGTTATTTTGATTGGGAGAATTTTATTTCCTGGACAGAAATGTGCAGTTTTTTATCTTGAGAAGGCCATGTTTACACTTCCAAAATGAAAAATTGCCATGATACAGAAAGTAATTTACTGAATGAATGCAAATAATAGAAAAATAATACAAATATACGTGAATAAGTTAGCAATTGGATCAAACAAAATCGGCATCTTAACAGTTAATTCACTTTTTATTTCATGCACTGTTTAAAAGTTATAGAAAAAATGATAAAAAAATCTTATCTTGACCAAACTTGACCATACTCCCCCAAATGGCCATGTACCTGTCATGAAAATAATTTACAACATAAATTAATTTGTTTGGACTCAACCTTGCCCTCATAAACTTATGCATCAATCATTGCATCCATTGGCTATGACTTTCGGTAAGAAATGCTTTCGCTCTGCTAATAACGGAGCTCTTCCTGACATACCTGTTCCGTTCTCTAAAATGCAATGTCAGGAAGGGAGGTTTATAACAAATATAATATTTCCATTTCAAAATTCGTAAACGGCCCTTTTCGAACTTCAGAGGTGACGTTTCTGCGTGGCAATAAAGCTCTTCTTGGCGCCCTGCGAAATCGGCTATTTTTAAGATTGGGGGGGGGGGTGTCACACCCGCCCCCGGTATTTTCACCCCTACCTGCGTGCCTTGCCCAACAGTCTCTGCCCTTTCTAGAACAATAGAATAACAGATGCTACAATAATTTTCAGAGAATGGCTTATAAAACGAGAAGAATACAGGACATAGTTTCGTGTTATTGCGGTTGCATGCAAGAACTGTCAGACAAAGTAGAAATCACAATACTAGTTGAAAGTCGTGTAATTTAGGCGAAAAGCATGTTATCAGAAGGCATGTGTAGCGACATAACTATGAAACATCAATTTAACTTACAAACTGGTTGTTTCTAGCATGTTCAAGACAGATGGCAAATGGATTTTTTTATTGGTAGCATGTATAAGCATTGCTTCTGCTTGGCGTGGTGTGAAAGGTAAGCAGTTCGGCCACTTTGGATCTAACATTTGTCGACAGGAACACATGCAATGCCGTGAATACGGCATTTTTGATATTTTAAATATGTCTGTAGCGAACTTAGCCTGAGAAACAGTGGCGTAGATAGAAAAATTTCGAATATTGACTTATTTCTGGCTGTCTGTTCTTAATTTTATCGAAAATTTGAGGCTGGATTGATGTTAGTTTGTTCTTTAACTATTAGGGTGTAAACAATGCAATTGCCAACAGGTGTGATCTAAGGGGGGGGGGTATGTTTAGGCTTTATTGGCCAACAAGGTGAGTGAGACATCCTATTTTTCCAGAAAAGTTTCAAATTCACCAATAAAGCATCCTTGTATGGCAAAAAACTCTTGATTTTTGAGATGAAAAATTTGTAAGCGGGTTTCACTGCATTGTTCCAAAACAAATCTTACAGATGCTCAGTCCAGCTTGTTCTTAATTTTTGACAAATTCTGAGCTCATATTTTTATAGAAATGTTATTTAAAGAAGAGTGTAACTACATTCTCATCTTCATCCTCGGTGGCCCCAGTACTAGTCTCGGTAGTTCCTACAGAAACAGTGGTCTTGGGCTATGCTAGTGTTTGGTTCGTCTCAACAGATGCTCGAGGGAGGAAATTTGAAAGAGGAGGGATGGGGTGGCATATAAGTGGCACCTCCGTTAAATGCAAATAGGCTCTTCAACTCTTTTCCGAAATAGGGGACACGCGCTTTCTGTGCCCCCTACCCTGTGCCACCACTTCTATGCATTTTCCAGCATAATGTCATAATCATCAGTAATGGCAGGTAAAACAGCTGCTAAAGTTTCAAAAGCTTATGATCTCTAAGACATTATTTGTAATTTAAAAAATTAAGAAATTAGAATTTTAAAGCAGAATACTTCATATTAGTGTACAAGTAATGCAGAAAAGGGGTTAAGGACCAAGAGGTTTATCCTCCCAACAGTTTCTGAATGCACCATACACAATTTCGCCTTGCTCTTGTTTTTAACAGATTTGGCCTTTTCAACTCCCTTAATCTGTTATTACTCCAAAGCCCTTGAGTTATAGGCCCTCCTTTTGAAGCCGAAAAACTGTCTAAATACGACAATCGTTCTTTCAAACCTGGCCTCCCATTCCAGCTAGAGGAAGTAATTTGAAAGAACAAGATCTCTAGAAACTATTGACAGATTCCAAAGGTTTTTATTTGTTATTTTCATGTTCCTTTGCTGCAACATTTGTTCCATTCGCAGAGCTTTTGTGATGCATTTGCAGTGCTGGCAGTTGTTTGAATTGAAAAATGTTTTACGAGATTCATAATAAAGCTACATTTTTTCCTCCATTGTCGATTATAAACTGCCATAATGAAGATACGTTAAAAAGATATGACCTTAAATAAAAGAGAACCACAAGAGGCTTTGTTTAGTAATCGTTCTCTTTCTCTTCAAAGATCCATGGCCTGAAGATGATGATTTTGGAATGGAAATGATTCACGATGCAAGAGAAGATGCTATCCGAAGATGCCAAGAAAACTGCAAAAGGGAGGTATCGCGAAAACATGGAAGCAATTGGGCGGTATTTTACTATTCACGGAAGTGTAGTTGTGGCTCAGGATCCACAGACTCTGACCCTCGGTCTTTCAACCACGACACAGTATATGTTCATGGTGATTTTTATTCTTTATCCATTATTTTTACATCATGTCTATTGTTTAAAGAGATCTATGCTCTACATGCGCTAAATTTATGATTTGTTACAATAGTAAGTAGGCGGCTATGGTAAGTCTTTGGTCGGAATCCACTTACCATTGATAAAAGATATAAATTATAATCGATAATATTGATGCAGATCGACAATTTTGAAAAAAATTTTATAAGAAAAATTAAAATCATTCTTTCAGTATATTACTTGCTATCACAATAAGGCCTAAATAGATCCAGGAAATAACTGTCTTTAATATCAATATACCACTCAAATTCCTAAATCACTCAAACTTTTAACTTATATTATTCCGTTTCATATAAAAACATAGCTTGATATTCAAAGATATTTGTGTCATAAGATGTATAAACACCTTGAAAATTGAATAGCTTAATCTTTCGTGAAACGAAATTATTTTCAACGGAAGCAAGTATTCAAGAGCAGTGCTGTCGTAACAAAATTTATATTGGGGGGGCTGCCCAATGTATTCCTCCTAATTCAGTACACAGTTATAAAGGAAACATACTACAGTTTGACAATTATTTGGGGCTCTAGCCCCCTCCCCCAGCCCTCCGGTCCCGAAGAGCCTGAAGAGTAATTGTGTATTAGGCCATAGCCTACTTTGTTGCCCAAAATTTTAGATAAAGAGAGTAATGATAAAGGGAATGGAAACCTCCCCCTTGTATTCATTTTCTTTTCTTATTATTCTTTGAAAGTTTCTTGATAATAATCTATTGCCCTTTATAACAGAAGTAACTGTAACTTTTTTAGAGGAAAAGCGGGAAGAATCATACGCTTATGATTCTCCAGGGCCAGTAACAAGGCGAAGAATATGCAGAAGACGAGCAGACAGACTTAGGCCTTGTAAACATCCTTCTGCAGGTGCACGGTGGGAGAGGCATACCTCTAGAAGAAGGTATTATGCTCGAAGGAGGTACTATTCGCGAAGAAGGAGCCCTGCACGTCGAAGGGCACATTATTTTAATTTGTGATTTGTTTACTCTTTCTTTGACATTCGCCTTTAACAAAGAATCTCTCCAAGAGGTTGAAATAAGAAGAGCTTTTAAACTGCTAGCAAGACTGCATGCCCCTAAGAGAAGTTATTTTTGTACGTTGGCAAGCTAATTTATGATAATTAATGCATACAATTATTGTCTTTGATCGTCTTTACAACCAGGTTCATGGGAAAAAAATCCAACTGCTGCCATGGGTTTTGTTAAGAGTAATGGCAACAGATTATGACAACTGTTTAAATATAAATAGCAAACGGTGTAGATATTTTTGTTTTTGACGTAATTTAACTTGAGCAACTTCTCCCACCAGTCAACTCAAAGTTGATTCTTTCTAAAAGGTTAATCTTTCTCCCTTGTTATTTAAAAACTAAACCAGCTCAATAACTTGTGACTGCTTTGGAGCCATTCCACAATTACAAACTTCAGGGAGCAGTTTCCATTTCACATCGAGAAACAAAAGATTCTGCAAATCGATAGTGATAACTAAAACAATATAGACTAAAAGTGTAGAGATGAGCAGGGTTGCCATTAGGCCGTTTTGACGTCCAAATTCTTCCATTCTGACCGTTTTTCAAAGCTGTTGCCCGTCGAAAATTAATTTGGCCAAAAAAGCGAAAATTGGCCGAATTTTGGCTGCATGTTGGAAGCCACAAAAAAAAAGAAAACGACAACTTTAGCAAAATTGCAAATGACGAAGCAACAAACAAAGTAAAAGATAACAGAAAATTGAAATTGAAAGCAAGTGGGAGCTTTTTTAACAAACAAAGCCATTTTTGATTACACTATTATTCCACAGGTCGTTAGGGGTGGAGGCTTTGGACCAATTTTTCCGTAAAAATGACGCATAGATTATGTTCTGGAGAACCAGAAAATTTTGTCATTTTATTAGGATCCTATGTATCGAAGAGGATTTCCAACAAACCATGGTAGAAAACAAGTCAATGTTCACTGATTGCCAAGAAAATAGTAATCACATTTTTCGAGGAGATGAAAATGCCAGAATTTAGGCCAAAGCCCAAAAGGCTCTAGGCTGCGGCAAAGCATTCTTATTCAGGATAAAGAGTGGATTTGATAAAGAGCAAATACATGGTACTCTAACTTACTGGTTTTAAACAATATTTGCACAATTTCAGAACAGGTTATCCTTGAACTTCAGGCGTCTATATATTTATCTACGGCTAGACAATCCTAGAAATATTATTCACATATTATTTACATCGTATCAGCTGACCCGAAATAGACCATCGAGAATAGCAATTCTGGTTTTACAGAAATAAAAAAATTGTGAATAAGTAAACGACTTACCTTTCATTGTTAGACTTGGATCATATTCAATACTGTATAACAATACTTTTGTTTTCATAGAAACGAACTTGACTCCTGAACGCAATAAATCTTTTGCTTTGTACACGCCACTTGCTTTGATGTCAAATTAGGCGCGAAAAGTCACATGACCTCCTTCGCAGCCAAAAAATTACTGAGATGGGCAATACAAGAACTTGCCTCCATCTTCGAGAGATGTATTTTATTTTCAAATTATTGGAAAATCTTTATGCTGGATATATCTAGCCTGAGATGCGAGGAACTCTTCAAATCAGTTTTCCAACTAAAGAGATCCTTTTCGGTACTTCGCAGAAAACCGAATTTATCCCTTCCCTAGAAAATCCCATTGCATAAAGGAACATATCGTTGGAAAAACTAAGCTGGTTCACATATTGTGTACCAATAATGCTACAGTGGTTTCGTAATCGGGAGGAGCCATATCTCTTACAATCCCCCCCCCCCCCATCTTTTTTCTAAGAAAATGGGCAAAAACATACAATTTTCTGTTTCTTTACAGCCATGCTTAAGAAGTCCAAAAAATTGTCTCACCGCAAATAAATTGAAAGTTTTCATGAAAGTTGACGTAAGACATAGACTTCAGATATTAAAGCAAATCTTCAAAGCATATTTAAGGTTAACAGTTCAGTCGTACTATATAAAGTAATTACAAATAAGCGCTTAAATTAAAACGATAACAAGCAATTTACTTTTGATTAGTTAATCAACTAAATACATTCATATTTACAATATATTCACTACGTCACCTTGTGTCAGGTGGGCCGAAGATTTGGGTGCATTTTCTAGCTCATGTCTTCTAGAGCAGTAAAAACGTTCAGGACATGAATCTCTATGAAAAGCAATCTTTATGAAAAAGTCTTTATTGGTAACAGACTCAGTTCAGGTAAATGCTTTGACTGCGTCGTCATTCAATTATGCAGCTTTTAGCTATGCCAAACCTCTATCATGCGTATTTCCTAATCAAGGTTCAATCTAATTTCTAACACTTATCTGATGAAGCCCTTTAACTTTTTTAAATCTGGCCAGTGGTGGATTTAGTATATTAGTACGCAGAGCTAGGAACAAATCAGCTATAGAACTTTAGATTTGAAGTTTCGGGATTTAATTGATCAATAGAATGCCCTTTTTGATTGCTTAATTTTGAGGAAACAATATTCAAGGAGCAACATTCACTAAAAGGGGGCAGGCATTCAGTTGGGCCATGTGGTAACATTTGAAGAAGGAACTCATTGGGATTTCAGGACCTTTGTCACTGTCCCCTTTTCTTTCTCCATCCAGCAGGCTTCAAAGAACATATGATTATGAATTCTCTAATATTCCGAAACGCTTTCAAAAACATGTACTCTATATTTTTTCCGCTCAACCCAATATTTTGATCCATCTTTGAAATCATCCTTTCCTCAAAGAACCCCCCCCCCCTACCCCCCGAAAAATAAAAGTTTTTGCACCATGAGTACCATTGGATTATTTAAAACGGCCATTGTTGCACTCCTTTACGAGGGCTGTGACAATCCCCCCACGCCTATAGGAAAAGCTGTATCTCAGTCCTTGTACCTAAGTACTTTGAAAACCCGAATAAGCAAATAGGATAGAACGTTGTATTTGCTGTAAAATTAACCTTAAGTCTTGGTCTACTGCGTAAGCTTCTTTCGTTACACAGCTTTACAAATGAGTATGTTCTAATAGTGGATATGTACAAGTAAGGATAACTATAAGACAATGACTGATGACTGTGTTTCATTATCCTAAAGAGCCCAGCTCATCAATGATACCATCTACTTCGACGAAGCCATTTCTTTCATAACGCTGCAATACCGAGTTCACTTCAGATTCTGAAAAGCCAAGTGAAAACAAAGCATTGTACTTCATTATCGTCTCTTTCGCAGCTTCTGTGGCTAGTTGATCTGCAGAAAAGAAGTGTGGAATGATAAGGTTTTAAACTACTGTCAATAAGAAATACTAGATTTAACTAGTTTAGCTTCTTGATAGATAGAACTTTATCTCGAATGCCTTTTTCGCTTCAGCCCTAAATGTGTCAAATTTTGCTTCTTTGAACATGGAGGTCTCTTCTTCTTGATATCTCTATATAGGCCTTTGTCATCAAGAGATTGTGCATCCACATTTGGTGTAGGTAGCAAAATCCTTTTCAATTAAATAGTTGACTGAACAAAAGTAAGAGAAAAGCAAATTTTGGGTGACTCAAAGAAATATAACTCAAAAAAATAATGAACTGGATACAAAATGCGTCGGAGAGCTACAAATATGTAGTTAGGCCCTTCTAAGGCGTGATGCACAAGGCCAAATGTAGCAGTATTCTTTAACAGTTTCTGGCCTTTCATATTTTTCGAAGTTTTTGATGTTGTTTCATATTTACAAAACAATTTACACGTACTTCTAAGAATAATGGAAAGTTATTTCCTTGTTGAGTTAATGGATGTTTATGTTTAGGTAATGTCTCCAAGGAAAGTTATCAAAGGGAAAAATCAGACAAGGGCTTTAATGATGGATTGCATTAATGGAATACATTTGTCGCTGCAATACTGACCAGAAGCCTTGGCTCGACGTCGTAGAGCTGTAACAAGCTTCATGAATCTCTCGAATTCTTTAGACTGACCATTAACATCTCCATTTTGATGGATTTCACCATTTTGCATCCCTGAAATAAAGCTTTTTTTATCGATGTTCATCAAGAGACAAAGTTTTGGTCTACAACTGGAAATGCTATTGTTCACCGGACTAGAACGAGTTTACGGTAGTCATGGCTCTCTGTATCAAAATGGACGACAAGGGTTGCACAACAGGGGTTTAGTAAACGTTGCACTTGAAGGATTCATTTAAACGATATTAAATATTAACCTTATCATTCTTTAAGTTAAAATTTGAAAATTTTATTCAGGAATAAAAGCTCTTTCCTTCTTTAAATCTTTTTATTCTTTAAACATTTCTTATTCTTCTCTAACGCTCTTTTAATACTCTCATATTTTGCATGTTTTACCATTTCGTAACGATGGGTGAAATATATTTTTTGCTATGAAAAATTAATTTTTAAATAAACTTCAATCCCTTGTACATAAGCTTACAAGCGGTAAGTTTCAAATCAACTTGTCTTAATAAAATTTTATTCATCCCTCGTATTTAAAATGCATAGGCATTAAATTATGTTTTGCTAGCAACAGGAATTGATTTGAAAAAAATTAAAAGCAGATTGAATTCCTCAACCTGTCCTCTAATTAATTAATCATGATCATCATTAAAAATTATTATTCAGACCAGGTTAAAAGTTCCATAAAAAAATTGAAACTATAGCAGGCGCAAACCGAATTGTAGAATAATTGTTCATTCGATGACAAAGGTATTTTCAAAATATATTGCACGAAATAAAAACATACACCAAATATTATTATTAATTAACTGTCAGCTGCTCTTCGATTCGTAGGTTTATGTAAGGTTTTCTGCTGTAGGAGATCGTTTCTTTTCTTAGATATGTGAAAACAGATATTAACAAAAGAGTCAAATGGCAATGTCAAAGTTAAAAGAAATTTTCGTATGCCTTGAATAAATTACTTTTAACAGATATCTGATATATATGTGCAGGTGGTGTTTTTTCAATAGATCATAGGCTATGTACCTGCATTGCCGTTTTTTGTAGGAATTGCTTTAAGCGGCTGGCTTACTTCCCATTTGGGTCTTTCAGGGACTCTTTGCTTTGGTTCGCTCACTTTCACTTGGCTTAGAGATCCGGAATAACCATTGGGCAAAGGTAGAGACTTTTCCAAGAAATCTATGAAGCTTTTGCAGCTAAAATAAAGTTTACCAGCTTTACTAATATTTAGCTGTTAAAAATCACACTTCAAAGTTTCTTAAATTTTAAATTATTGCATTTTTTGAAAATGCATCAAATTTGCTCCAATGTTGAATAAAGCCATGCCTTTACGATATTTGGTAACAAATCTAACATTAATCAGTAATAAAATAGCAACAAAGCGAATAGTTAAAATTTCACACTTAAATTTGAAAATAATTTAAATAGTTTCTTAACATTTATGAGCCAATGCAGAAGTGTTTTAGCTTGACTAGTATTGAGCTTCTTATAGACTGTTAATTCTACGAAGAATAGTATGTGATTAGCATGGGTAGTATCCTTAACATACATTTTACCCTGACAAGCCACTGATTGGAAGCGATGGCCTAAATGATATTAATATTTGTGTGTCATTTGAAAATAAGTATTGGCTAAGACATTTTCGTGTGGAGTTTCGTGTGGAGCAATTTTAGATACCAGCCATGATTCCTCTGCAGCTAAGAACCTCAGTCGGATTTAACTTTAGTCCTGGGTTAAAGTTGGCATATAAACATTTAATTTGAATACGTTTTTTGCCAAAAGGCTTTTAAGACAGCTCACTTTGGCTACGTAGATAAGGGATGTGTGAAAGTTGCCTCATGTTACAGAAGAGTTCAGGATGATTTGTAATATTGAAACAAGGATAGCCTACCTTACATTACCAGATCCAAAAGGGTCTAGCCTTTCGATCATTCTGTCAATAAGTGCGTTGTTGATTGGAAGCTGATGACGAGACGATGCCTTTAAGCTAAAAATGTAAAAAAATTAAAGATGAACAACAACCACTGGCTGCAAGGAAATCAGTAAATTTTCAAAGCTTAATCGTCAATATATAATGGCAGAAATTCCTAAAACTTTATTGAGCTGGTTCCAATCTTTATTTGTATTAAAAATGTCTTTGTAAGCAGAGATATATCGTACAAACTATGTTTTTTTTCCATAGCAGGTATCCAGATGAATCAATGGCCATTCAGGGTATTGCCTCTTTACGTAGTTCCAAACCATCGCATGTTTTTTAACAATATTTCAGACAACCCATAAATCGTTAACTTTTTCAACAATACTCTCGAGATTTGCAAAAACAAATTTTTACAGATACTGCTAAAAACTTCAACGCTCCTTCTAAAAATGTGCATGTTATCTCATCTGAGTTTGCTAGAGCATACTGCAAACTGCCGAAAAATAGTTTATTGTCAAAATATATGGTAAACCCAAGGTGACATCCAGTCTGCATGAATACTAAATGCTAGTTTACTCAAGATAACTTAACATCAATGACATTTAGGGATATGCGAACAAAGAAATGTCTATACGGAAATAGTTTTAATCTTTAAAAAGTCTATCTTTAAAATAATCGATCATTCCCTTTTCCGAAACAGTTTCCAGTTGAGTAGAAAATTTAGATGATGCATGAAAGCCAGCTAAAAGGAAAGAAAAGGCAAGATCCCGTTTTCTATAATTTTTTTAAAAATATTTTTAGCAGCGTGTTTGCAAAAAAGATGGATGGTTTTACTCTTGAAACCAACTCATTACAGCCATTTTAACTTAAATAAGCTTAATTTTGCTAAATCACTCATTATATAAATGCGGTATTGGCCCTAGATTTGCGGCAAACCAAAAGCTGAATCAATTCAACTTTGTCACAATTGAATTGACATAGTCACAATGGAATTGACGTAGTATCAGGGTGCCAAACAGCAACAAGAATGAAAGCAAATTGCGGTAACAAGCTAAATACATTTGTATATATTGTCACAGTCATACCATATGGTTAAACGGCTGGTAAAAACAAACAATAAGAGGAAAAAGTAAATCTTAGAACAAATTTCACTATCAGCGATTTTCCAGCTTTATTTTTAGTTAGCATTATGTCTTCGAACCGTAGACAAATCTTAACGGACATCGAAGGAGGTTTTGAATAGAATTCTTGAATTTTATGTTAATGGCTTTCTTAATACTTCTGTTGTCATTCCTCTCAAAACCCAATTCTAAGGAAGCAGTGAAGCAGAGTTTTAGCACCGAAAGTTCTGATCATTATAGCAGTTTGCTAATTTTAGTAAGTTAGCATCATGTCGTCCAACCCGCCTTCACAATTGCTAAAGAAATCATTAAGAAAAAGACATTAAAGGAGATTTTTAATAATTATGTCAAAACCAGAATAAATAGAATGAAAGCAGTAATTTTGAAATGAAACCAGGATTTTGTGGATTTTTTTACATGAGATAAGCATTATCTAAACTTGGATGCAGATTTTATGAGGCCACTTATGAGATCATCGACATATAAGTTAATTGAATATGTGAGTGTCTCAAAACTTTCTTCTAGACTAAAGAAAGCAAGGAACAGGAAAATTGTCATTGCAAGGAGACTGGATGAGGATTAATCGAGAAATGTTTAATTTTTTGGTAACCATAATAACAAAATGCAAAACTTTCCTAGGTGAACCAAAATTTAATTGATTATCGATTGAAGTCAAGTTACCTTGTAAGAATCAATCAAATCTTCACTTTGCCCGAGTAACTTCTTCTTCAAGTTGTAGAAGACAAAAAATATGTCTCCTTGGTACTCCTGACAGCATCTTTCTATCTCAAGCTTTATACCAGCATCTCTCTTCTCGTTGAAGGCGTTATTGAGTTTCACTCTGGAATACGCACCTGGTATCTCTGTGTACTCATCTTCCATAAGCCCACGTTTGTGCAAAGGTGCCAGGCTAAAATCAGTGCTGTTCATGGACGGATGGCGCACTCTGCTGCGTTGGGGATGTCTTGGCAGATTGTGAAATTCACTCTTGTCTCGCTGCACCTTATATTCATCCAAAGCATCAGTGAAGAATTCTAGCAGATGGTCGTATCTAATTTTTCCAGTTCCACCTTCGTCACATTGGGCCAGGAGACTTTTGAGTGTCCCTTCGTCAATATTCACGTTGTGATCTCTAAGTATTCGGTCCAAATTTGAACTAATAATGGTACCATGTTTCAACTGGTCAGAGGCACGCATACTCTTTCGTAACTTGTTGATCACGTCCGGCCTTGCGACATAGAGCAACTGACCAACCCGCTCTTTCAACAGGCGTCTCTGCTCCATGCTCAACCTTTCACCCTGACGCAATGGTGGGAGCACTGGCCTGACTTCTCTTGCAGTCAGATCTTGATTTCGCACTATAAACTCCTGCTTCTGGTATGTCCTAACCATAGATCGTTTCGGAAACAGTTCTTTGCTATCCCACGGAGCCAATATATGATAATTCTGGTTTTCTGTATGATGCGTCCTCATTGTTGACTAAAGATTAATCATATTGACTTGGCAATTCGTTGTTTTTGAGTTAAACGGCTATGAACCATCTATATGTGTTGTTTCTTGTTGCCATTAGTAAAGCTTGACCATACGTTGAATAACTACATTTAGGCGATTGTTTATGACATCACGGCGAACCTGCAAAGATTATCTCAGCTATTCAAATCAGAACAAGAGTTTGAATCAATACTCTCTCCGGTCTCTAAGTCGTTTTGGCAAAATAGCACCAAATCGTGCCATAAACACAAGTCTGTTCTTCAAAAATCCTAACATCTGCCGCAAAATAGGCTTTGATAAGAATGTGTTTCGCTTTTTCTTGTCAACAAGTTATCTGTTCTTAACTAGTCAAAAACCCAGACCTTCAGACCTTGGAAGGGAATGATCAGAGGAAATCAGAACTCGGTTAAAGTATGTTGTATTGAACATGGAAAAGTGTAACAAAAAAGCCAAAGAAATATATAACATTTTAAGACGATTGTTGTCAACAGAAATGGTTGATTATCATATTTCTAGCCTTATTACACGTAGATATCAATATGTTAATATATGTTAATATATACAGTCATCTATCACGGATCGACAAATGATCACCAACCGCCAAAATGTCGGACTTCTTTTCATGGAAACCCATTTTAAAACTGAGAAAAATACCCGATTATGCTTTGAAAGGAAACTCCAATTGGCTCCAAAAATGTTCACAACGCTGTTAGCAGATAAAGTTTAACACATATTTTTGATGCATTCCAACTGCCTAGGTAAGTTGACTATTAAATGTTTCACTATGGATCCACTCAAGGATGCACGAACAATTTTTATTCACTTTTCCTTAAATCATTATATTTCTTAGCATCATGATTAAAAAATCCTTGATAAATAAAATTGAAATAAATCTAAAGTCATCATATCAAATTAATCTTAAACAATGACTTTGAAAGTATACATTTGTAGATATTTGTTATTTTATCATCTCCCTTTTGACATTTTATTATGTTTGGCAATTGTTAAATCTCTCGATTTTACTTTTTTTATCACCATTGCCATCCCAACACTTGCAACCAGTTATCTCACATTGATCCTTCACCATTCCGAGTCCGCATTTTCTGCTATTACAAACGAAAAACGTACCTGCAAAAGCAGTACGATTCACCTGCCATCAATTTATGTTAAATTGAGTTTGTACGAAAGGAATTCACATAGAACACGAACAATATTAAGCCATCTATTCAAAAGCAGATTCAATAAGCAACTCGTGTTCTTGTTCTCGCGAATTGAACGGTAAAATATATGCCATCCTACACCAAAAGGAACATAAAAATTCAAATAGCTTCTCTCAGTGACCAAAAGTCGATGAAATCAATTTTTCATGCATTTCCAAAACAGAGGGTATTAACTAAAAGCCAATTTGTAGACTAGGCTTATACAGCCCTACCATCTAACACGATTTCTACAAAGGCATTTACATAACTTCCTGACTTTTAGGGTTAAATTTATATAAAAAAAATACATTTGTTTTTCTATTCAACCTAATTTCATGGCGAAGAAGCGAAAAATTTGAACTCGCTTATTTGGTTATCTAAGAAGTAAACAGAAATTGCCGAAACATTCCTTGAGGAAAATAATTAGATGTGGTATGCAGGGTCTGAATAGAGTATTATCTAGTATCAATAGCATTGATTAATCAATATTCTATTGATGGAAATGTGGTGTTGATTCATATTTTCAAGTAATAACGCAAGGTTAATTATCATAAACAGAAACCAAAAGGATATTATCACAAAGTATAACACGCATGTGCAATTAGAGACCGATTGCTTTTAAGTTTTGGCTGCAATTATTTGATTTTTTGTTGTTTTGCCAAAGATTTGTCACTAATACAATTTGCTTATTTGATATACTAGAATTAATAATAACATTTCTTAAACGAATGTACATAAAGACCATAAGAGTATGACAACAATAGTCATAGTTTTAAAAAATTTAGATTATCTTTAATGACAATTCTTACAATTACTGGAGCTAATATATTGTGTGGGGCCAGCATGTGGGGCAAACATTCTTTTTACAAGGTGATGTTCGTGTGGTAATCTTTTTCTAGCCAATTTTCTTATTACAAATTGCGGTCTGTCCTTTCATATCAATCGCCGATGTCAGGCAAATCGTGCTGATGTTTATTTAGTCCATGATTGAAGTAGACTGCACTTTACACTTACAATTTTTTTAATGTTAGTTCTTTTAAGCCAACATTTGAAAATATTTGGTTGTAAGCTTTCCCTCCATTAATGTGTTACCAGACAAGCGTATCTCCAGAAAAGTTTCGGATTTTTATCAGAAATCGTATTAGATCAAATGCCCTTTTTAATATTTTACTTGGACCCCGAGCAAAACAGGAGTTAAATTTAAGCAGAGGAAAAAAATTTCCATTGCAAAGAGAACCCACCACCTTTGCATCGCAAAACTTCTTACTATGTCACCGGTATAGACAGCAATATGGTTGAAAACACATCAAAATAAATTCACGTTATTCAGAACGTGTTTTGCGAAGATGTGAAATGGCGAAAAGGTGTGTTTTGCACTCCAGGCTCTTTGCATTCTGCTGCAATCAAATAGCAGGTGGAACTGTCTTTTCACAGTCCCTTATTTGCATGCAGATGACGTTTTCTGTTGATAATTTTCAGCAATGGTCGGCAAGGTCCGATAGAAATTGCTCGAGAGACAAAGGCAATCGACAAAAATTAAAGTGGCTTAGGCCATCTGTCCATCAACATAAGCCAATCAATGAGCGTGAGTGTGGAATTACGCTCACTGATTGGTCGATTTTGATTGAAAGTTGCCTTAAACCCCTTTAGTATCTGTCGACTCCCTTTAACTATGGTTGCAAGGCTTTGTGAGAGGGCAAGAAAACATCAGCTTACTGTTCATTTTCGACACGAGTTGTCCAGTGGATGTGCAAGCAACGATTTGAAGAGACATCCATCGTCTATGATGTATTCTCGTTCGCCGAGAGCTCAAATCAGTGAATACTAACGACATTTCTGTTCTAATTCTAGCATTGATATGGATTTGTAAAGGTGGCATACGCACTTCAAAATAAGTGAAAAATTTTTGAAGTAATATTGTTAAATCCTCTCGTCTAAAACTAACTGATACAAGAGTCTAATACAAGCGCATCCCTGGTAGGCCGATGCATTGACGCAGAGAAATAACTTGTTCTTGGTGTTGCATTCGACAAATTCCAGCATCGAGTACCAGTTTCGAACTGAATGGAAGCTAGGCTACATCAGCTGATCACTGATGAAGGGTTTATTTCGCAAGATGCGTCAAGGTTAAATAAAAATCCCCTGCAACATCTTTAAGAAGCAGTAAGTAACCAAAGACACTCTCGCAAAAAATACAGTCTAAAAAGCAGGTCATGTCAATGAAAATAACAATTCAAAGATAAAGAAAAAATTCTAAATTGGAAAAAAGGAAATAATGAAATTAATTAGACAATACATTTAAGACAAACAAGATAAACAAGTTACAGAAAAAAAGGAAAAAAGAGAACCCCTAACAAAGAAAAAAATTCCTGTTTCATTTAGAAGAACAGGTTGTCGAGGTAGGATATCGTCGACCCTGGAAGAACAATGATAGTCGAGAAGTACAATTTCATCGACTTATCGGCGTTACAGTTACTTTACTAACAATATTTACAAATTTAAAATGAATAACGCTACATTCTGCATAACGTTATTACTGGGACAGTCTACCGGGTTCGGGAGATCTAGTTGAAATACAGAATATTAAAACGACCAGCGTTAGTGAAACTACAATGCCTGCCAAAAGTCTTGGAACACTGGCATCAATTCTCAAGGTCAAAACCAATCATCCCCCTCTCCCCCACGGAACAATTTTGGTTTACTATCAAACGGGTTAGGATTTTAGGAAGCACTTTCTTTTACGCTTCTTTTATGATATTTCTCTAAATCATCAACATTGTTTGAGGGGAAAGGGGGCGGGAGTAGCAATTTTTTTCATGAAAGTAATGACAGATATCAAATGCAGCGTAAATTGGTGGGTGTTCCAAGTACTTTTGGCAGGCATTGTAGATTTGTTTACTTCTAAACATGGCTACCAAAAAGCAATCAGCCTTGACTAGGTTGACTCTGCAAATGGCCAAAAGCAATGCTTTTGCCAAATAAGAAGTTCAATTTGAAATAAGGTGAAGTTAGGCTATTCAAAATACGAGGTATCATTTCTTTAAACATATATCCTGACAGTAGGGTAGGGCGATCAATATTGAATTCGTTTTCAACACATGAGCTTCATTAGCAAACCCTTAAAGAACATGCTGAATAATGCAAACATAAGATCAAGACCAGTTGAATATCAATTTGAGCTCCTACAGAAAGTAATCTCATTCCGATTTTTAATTGGTTTGACAATGGAAACCTGCTAAGTTTGATAATGGAACCGGGGAAGATAGAAACCGGCCTCCTACCTAAAAATTCTCTTTTTAATATGCATTAATGATGGGATATAAATGATATTGACAGCTTGTAGACGTATTCTGTTTTAGATTTCCCCAACGATCTTCGGTAACCTCTTTGCATACCGCCCCTTTAATACAATTTACTGAATCACTGGTCATAAGGACGCAAATTTTGAGGTTGATGCTAATTACATCTCAGATACATCTCAGTTAAACCCATTTAGGCCTTGCTAAATTCGTGGGATTCATAGGTCTGTCTCAGTTCATGCATTATGTACGATTTGTTAAGGAATATGTTCGTCTCACTACACAACTGATATTTCTGGCAATTGGTAAAGACCAAACTAAAATCATTCACTGAATCTTGAGTGCTGAGAGCACTCTTCTGCGACTTTAAAAGCATTTCTGCATGAGTAGGTTTCCCTTCATTAACTATTTCAGCCAACGATAGAACTAAACATTTTATGCAATCTTGCCAAACAAGTTTAATAATTCGAATAAGCTCTACGGCTGTTTGCTGGATATTTCAAGCAGCAGAAAGGCTATGCACAATTTTCTTTGCGAGCTAGTGTACTTGTACGTTGGTCAGTGGTCAAAGACACAATCACGTGTCTAACTATACTCGGCCCCCACGGGTACCTTTTTTCTTTTTCCAGTTGAACTGAATTAACTGAATATCCTGTGCGTGATAAACTGGATGCATTTTTAGATAGGGGCTAATGTGCATAGGTTTGAATAGGTCTGAAGGGACAAAGTTAATGTTTCTAAATCGTTACAATACAATTAGAGGTTGATACATCCGTATCAACAATTATATGTGTTACTTTGGTTCTACTACAGTGAGTTTGTGCGTGTATCACTTAGTGCGTAGGTCATCGGAAATTTTCTACAAATTCATTCCAAGAATCCAAGCAACTGCGCAGCGCTTGTTTGTGGTCTTGGTTGTCTGCAGCATATGACGTCATCTGCTGTCAGCTGCAACTTCTCGTTCAGTGTTGTCTGTTTGGTAGAGGCATATTTCTAATAAATAGTTACTAAGGTGTGATAAAACAAGCTTTTTGATGAGCTTGGGTGTCGTACAAAGCGACACATCTCTCCTCTAAACAGAGCTTGAAATGCTGTCCATGGAACCACTATTAGCTAAAACTGCTAAACCAGAGAATTCAAGGCCAATTTCGTAATCCTGGCTGCAAAATGTGAAGACATTTGTACAATTCGATCTTATCTCCATGCCTTTAAACTCTTTTAGCCTTGGCTACCATCTCTGTAACTACGACAGCGTCTCATCCTGACATGGTCACACTTACTCAGAAACAGCTACTTGAAACCAAAGTCTTTGCTTCTCGTTTCTTTCAGGGACCTACTTCTTAGCACTCGATGTGGCGAGCTGTCTCTTAAATCCGTCGGGTGCAATTTGACTCTGTCCTCTGAAGCCTTTGGCCCTCGCGATGAGCGATCTGGGGACAAAGCCCTTCGCAACAGGGGCGATCCCAGTCGCGATTTCGATGGCGACGCGTTGCTTGGCGATAGCAACACCTGATTACCTTTAATTGTTAATGGGGACGTACTTCGACCTGATAACGTCGAGCTACCACTTGTCACAGAATTTGAAGCTGGTCGTGCCAGTGGTGACAAAGGAATGGTTGACACAGATTTTCTACGCGGTGAATGGACAACGTGAGACAACTTTGGGTTTATACCATGCAAGTTGGCTGGAATAAACGAAAGGACAGTTTGGATCAGTACAAAAATGGGAAGAAACAAGGTGTATGTTAAGCATTTTATACTGGAACGATCATCTCACCGAACTGAAGAAAGTTTTGGCCTACACGCCCTGTGATGTCCTCGAAAAGTCAGGATATGATTTTTGCATTTGTTTAAATAATCCAACCTGAAGATAGCATCAGTTTAGGAACTGGAACTGTAGATTGTGTCAAAGATTTATAAATAATTTAGGGTTTTATAAAAATTTATTTAACTGTATCGTGGATAGAGAAATGTAAATAGGATTGTTTTAGTTGACTTTATTTTCATTTTTGTAAATGGATTGCTTTGATAAGCTTGTCATCTTGTCATGTCAGGTTGAAAAAATTCTTTTCTACAATCATAATCGATTATGTAAAATGGAAAAGTTGAAACTTCCCGTTAAAACAGAGATTAATATCCAGATGAGGATCGAAGGGAAGAACAATGAGTTTGACTGGTTTTTGACAAACCTGCGGCTGCTAAACTCTCGCATCCAAGTAAATTTTAGTTTTGATGTAGACAGATTCCCATATGCAGTGCGGTATCATTCACAAGCCCCTCTTCCCCAACAAATTTCTTCTTAAAACATAATATAAAGGTTTCATCAAGAAATTACGCGTACATCCCAACTAGAGGAAACTCGGCGAACTCCGATTCCAGCCTCCTCGTGATATCGAGGTCCTATTGGGATTTTATTTTTATCAGGCCGTAATAAACTGTCTTCTGCACAGCGAGCCTCGATGCGGAGAAGTGGCGTTAAAGAAGTAAAGAGACAACAATGAATGACTCCCTAGAAATCTTGGCCTTTCCAGCAATAAACATAAAGTTAATGACTCTTATTATAAAAAGTTTCTACCAAAGGTACTAAACGATAAACACTATGAAATTGAGTAAATCATTGCAAAATCTCACTTACATGGTCTTGAAGCATGACCACCGGAAACCCCTGGACTTGTTGCACCACTGCCTGATTCATCCAAAACAAGCTGCGGCCTAGCCATGTCACCAGATTTCGACACAAGCGTTGCTGCCGAGCTTTTCGAGCGTTTTATTGAACTTCGTCTCATCGACGACGACCGGCCAATTCGCCTCCAAGAGAATGACTTCTTACGGGACTTCTCATTTTCGCCACGCCGACTGTCTTGTGGACTGAGGCTGCTGCGGATTTTCAGCTTTGTCTTTTTTGAACCGATTCGCGTGCCAAGCGCTCTCTTCTTGCGATCTCGTTTGATTGATGTATTCGATAAATCAGTGGCGTCCAGCTTGACTTGACGGCCACCGGTGAGGATCAGGGACAAGACTTCTACATGCTGAAGACCTTGCACAGGCTAAAACGTACAGTAAGACGCCTTATTGTAATGATAATAGTTAAAAAGATTATCACCCTGCACCAATACCATTCATTCAATAAAATCGTTTGATCTCTGCGAGTCTTATGCAATAATGCATAAGATTGCCTTCAGAAATGCAAGTGCCTAGAAAAGTGCCTATGCACCAATACAGCCGATCAGATAACAAAATACACTATTAGTAAATTGGTCACCAGCCGTACAGCATTACACGTACAATTACAGTGATGCACTTTCATTTTTTTTCAAACAGAACAATTAACACGACTAAAAGTCTTTCAGTTTCTATTGGGCCTTAAGTGTATGTTGAAGGAATATTGGATCTTATGAGGTCATCACCCACAGAGAGAACATTTGATCGAAACCTATATTCTACTTATCAAAAACATTTTTGCAGCTGCTAATTGGTGCCTCGATGAGATACGTACCTCTCCATTAACATGCGTAATTAGGTCACCTGGCTTCAGACCCGCGTCGAATGCTGGCCCATTTCTGTCCACATCCTACGATAAAGCAAATTACCATCTATTAAAGGGTTTTTTGATTGAAAATGTCTAACAACTTTCAAGTTTAGCCTCACAACTGAATTTGACTTAAATGCAATCATAAATTCATATTTTCTCTTATTAACTTTGGGTTTAATGAGAACTTCATCCAAAAATCATGTCCTTATGGATCACAATCGCAACAAACTAGGCCGCAAATTCAAATTTTAGAATGATCCATCAATTGAATGTTAGCAGATGTAAGCTGGAAGTAACATCCGAGAGGCTATTTACATCGGGCATCGGCAATTTAAGCTTTCGTTATAAATTAAGTACTCATGGATTTTTAATATACCATTCCTTTTTTCTCAGAGCTATGATTGCCGAATCCTGAAGCTACGTTAGACCAAAACAAAGAGAATTGGATCCTAAACTAGCATTTTCGGGTTTTCCTTAAGGGTTTTAAGGGTTCCAAGTTAATTAAGGGTTTTCCTAAAAATTGTAACTTTCTATACTTGCACTATATGTCATTAAGATTATCGTATGATTATCAAGCAAGACCGTCAAAAACTGCTAAGCACCAGGTCGTTGGCTCATACCCAGATTCGTACCAAAAGTGGGTGGTAACAATGGAGATACCAAAGACGATGGATCGGCTGCCTTGCCTAATCGTCCTTTTGGCTATAGTCTGCCTTGCTCTGACAGTAACCTCCATAGTGAAAGGTTCATAGCTAGAACAATAATGTGTGGAATACCCACTTGTGATTGGGTACTAGCAACTGACATTTCATTATGCTGCCAAGCTGCCAATTAAAGGAAACAAACTTACCTCAACAAGATGGTGGACTGTGTAGTTGTTTGTGCTACCCAGGTAGACACGTATAGCTTTTAATGTGAAGCCAAAACCTTTAGCTCCCTTTGACAAGACTATTGAAGGCTTCAAGGACAACGAAGCGATATGATTCGGTCTCACCGGGGATAATGGAACGTTTGCTCGCCTCGTCTTCATCTTAGTAGTATCCTCAGTTGGAGATTTTTGGTCATCACTTGTCGCTGCAAAATAGACGATTTTCATCACTTTTTTCAACTTTGTTTGACTTTGTAGCCAGAAAGAAGAAAAACTAAAGGCACTGAGGTTAAACAAACATTCCTCAAACATATCCTGCATATTTTTCTAATCACGATAACCAAAGATTCATAATACATCTTCCTTGATGTATTGTTAAAATATGACCAATACATTAAAATATGGAGCGGTTAAAAAGGTTCAGAGATACTCTCCTTCCGATTAACCTACAATCCCGGACAAAAATAGTTGCGACTTTTCAAGAAAACTTCATGTTTTCTCTTTCCTTAAAAGAATTGCTTCCCCCTCCTCCGATTCAATGTTGAATGCATGATTTTGAAGCAAGAATGATAGAACTACCAATCCAACATTGCTTTGGGGGGAAAGTGCCATGAAAAATGCCATGTACAATTGCAATACTGAAGTTGATTGATATTTACGATCTACCACCCATTCGATCCAACTCGACTGATTCATTATACATAGGGATTATCAATTGACGCACAGGACAAGAAGCATCAACTTTTCTAACGCTCCTCACAAATGGGCACCAATGTAGTTATCAGGAGATAATGCATCGAGTTTCTTGTCAACACTTACGAGAAAAATCAAGCTTGATTGGGGTAGTCTTCTGCTGCTCTATTGTATCGTCTGTTGGCTCGATTCTCGGAGGCATTGAGACAGTTCTATGCAGTTTTCTAGGCGACAAGTGGGATGCAGAGGGCGATTTCACCAGAGGACTAGCAGGTTCAGACATGTTGTGGTGCCTCTTTCCGGTTTCGTCGGCTTTCCTTGATGAGTCAATTACCAGTGGCGATGGATGACGAGGACTTGGGATTCGCTGAAGCCCGAAAGAGGTGATGGAAGAAAGCCTTCTAGGTGATGACTCGCTGCCACTAAAACTATGGAAAACCAAACTATGAAAAGGCGTCATTTTTTCATAACACCGGAAGATACTTGCATACAAAGAGAATGTTTCTGCATACCTATAATTACGAAACTGAGGTCAGATGTTACTATACTTTATGCAATTGACACAAAAACCAGAGTCAGTGCCTTTGTCTCAGAGAACAATGATGCAAAAAAAATAATTCGACAGAATACGATCACTGACTAAAAACCATTTAACACAAATTGAATCGAATTCATGTTCAGTTATGTCGGGGGTAATAATTGGTGCCCACTCTTGTCATCAAAGAGTTATCCCACAAGAAAAATTGTGTTACATGAAGTATCAATGCAAATATAGCACGAGTGGCTGAGTTTTGATGGACAATAAAAAAAGTAATTTCTAATTTTAGAGATAATTCCTTAGAGATTAAACCGGCCTGGGGAAGAGCCAATACACAAATGTCTGTGCATATAATAATTGGTGCATAAATCACATAAAAGGCCAGCATTTGTTATCTCTGACGGAAGCCAATTTTGTAATTACCTTCCGTCGGCAACTGCATTTGTTTTCCATCAACTATCAGTCGTAAGATCTTAACATTTTCAAGTGATGACTTTCTCCAAATTGATTCGATGCACACTTTTTTTCCGAACATAAACGAATTTTTTTTAACTAAGGGGGTGCTCCCTCCTCGATTAGTTTATCTAGTGAGAGAGCTTCTTCTGTAAGAAATTCCCTGCATGCAAATCCCTCCTTTTTTGTATTGTACTTTGTTTTGTAGAATTGTATTTCATAAATTTTGTAAAGCTTTTGTTGTTTAATCTAAAGTAATATTTGTGAAATTGTACTGTAGTGGAATTTTAAAATTAAAGGAACTGAACTGATGAAAGTCATACACAGTCACAAAAGGCCATTATTACCAACAGCTATTAGCTATGTCTTGTGAATCACTTACTCCGTGTCTGAATCTGTTCTCCGCATACTCCCGTATGAGCTGTCAGAGTCTTGCCTCTCTACTCGATCATCAAAACTGCCTGACTCTAGAAGATCTTGGTCATGCTCCTCCTCTTTGGAGACGTCTGAAGAACTAAGGATACGGGAATACCTTGGCGAGCAGCTGGAGAAGTTCCCTAGCTCAGGTAATTCTTCTTCGTCTTCATCCTCGTCGCTGAGCTCGTGGCGATAACGGTCTTCTCTTGCTGTTAAAATGTTAGAACAGTTCAGAGTCATTCCTATACACACCATCAACATTGGAAAAAATAAGTAGCAAAAACCTTAATAATGACAGCAGGAGTGTAATGTTTTCTGATGAAATAATAAAGTACTGGTTACAACCATATTGAAAAATGCAATAAAGCACTGTCACAACTTAGGCACGACAAAAAATTAAGGGATTGATATATTCTCAAAAATAGCGAACATTGATTACTATCAAAGCACTTATTTTACACAAAAAAGAAACATTCCTGCGAATGCCCATATTCAAACAAACGTTTTTAAAAAAATCAATTGAAACCATAAAATGCGTAGAAGATGCATTCCCAGATTTTAGACCCAAAACGATTTGTGGTGCATTTGTATCCATATCTAACTACAAGTCTCCATTCCCTGCAGATGGAACAAACTTATTTGGAGGGGCTACAATACTCTGCAGATCTCTCTGGATGCTATGCAGAACATAAAAGAGCATAAAGCCCAGTCCACTGAGTGCAAGTCTCTAATTTAGTACTTCCAGAGTAGCTTTCTCATAACAAAGTTTAATGAAAGGAACGGGTAATATCTGCTTACAATCGAAGTAGCTCGTGTCCTCATCATCATCAAGCTGTGGTACGAATTCCGCTTTCTGACGTAACAATGAGTCCCAGTTGACGTGGTTGAAAAAAATATGGCTTTTGACGTGGTGTGTTCCTGGAAAAATGATACGGAAAACAAAACTTTAAATCATTTGCCATTCGATATCTATTGCATTTGGTTCTCTTCAGTTAGTAGATACGAGCCAAAAAAATTAATTCTCAATCAACAAAGGGGAATCTGTTGAGAAATTTATTATACACTGATATCGAATATAAAATGGTCAGCCCATATAATACTTGAGCCGAACAGCTGCACGTGACATTTAAGACATCATGTCCCGACAGTCAACCGACCAGTGTCAGCAACAGGCTCTACGCTCTATGGCCCCCTATATGATTATAAAAATCTTGAGAATCAGTCTTAAGTAGTTGAATGGATATGTGAGAATAGGTCCATTGTATAGTTAGGCCAATGGGAATTTGAACGGCCATCGAAAGGCGTCGCAACATAGTGCCTTTAAAACAGGCAACCACATTGAGAACTCACCACCGGCCCCCAGCCTCGTATTTGGGTCTTTGCGAAGAAGAGCCTTTATCATATTTTCCGCCTCTTCGTCTAGGGCATCATCTTCGGTTGGGAATTCAACATCAGCTGAAAAAAACACGGGTTTAAGTTCATTAAAAAACGACTTATTAGTAAGGCAGTTACTATGTCGCCAGCGAAAATCGTTTTAAGTATTCAAAAATTGCATGGAAATGTCTCAAATGGACATGATGATCTCTGATAATAGGAAACGAATTAAAACCGATTCCTACCATGTACAGCCATATCAAAGACTTCCTGAGGTGTACTTCCATAAAATGGCGTTGCACCAACCAAGAATTCATAGAGTATCACACCCATGGACCACCAATCCACTGGCTTCCCTACGAAATAGTTTGCAATCTTATCAATTTCACTTACAGTTCAATATGATTTATAAAATTTCAAATTAAATGTTCCACCCTTTTAAGCTATTGGTTATGTGATAACTTCTATTTGAAAATATTTTTACACCAGACAAATGAGAATATTTAGGCATTTTGAGCCATTTTGAGTCCACTTCGAAGACTATGATGATTATCGAAACAATGATGATAATTAACCAAGCCACATCCAGCCCAACCAACCCCCACCCAGCCCAACCAAGCCACATCCAGCCCAACCAAGCCACATCCGGCCCAACCAACCCCCACCCAGCCCAACCAAGCTCCACCCAGTCCAACCAACCCCCACCCAGCCCAACCAACCCCCACCCAGCCCAACCAACCCCCACCCAGCCCCACCAAAGCCAACATCCAGCCCAACCAAGCCACATCTGGCCCAACCAACCCCCACCCAGCCCAACACACCCCCACCCAGCCCAACCAAGCCACATCCAGCCCAACCAAGCTCCACCCAGTCCAACTAAACCCCACCCAGTCCAACCAACCCCCACCCAGCCCAACCAAGCCACATCCAGCCCAACCAAGCTCCACCCAGTCCAACTAAACCCCACCCAGTCCAACCAACCTCCACCCAGCCCAACCAAGCCCCACCTTCCCAACAAAGTTCTGTTCAGCTAAGCATAATCTAGCCAAACCCCATCAAGCCCCACCCAGCCAACAAGGCCTTGCCTATCCCCATCAAGCCTAACCCAACTCAACCAAGCCCCGTTCCAACTAGTCCAATCATTTTCGGTAAAAGCGAATACCAAGACGAGAAAGTCACGTTACGCCACTGCTCGTGACCTAATCGATTACATCAGTTTCTATTTCTATTCACGGGGAAAACCCACGGCTGAAGTTAAGTTTAACAATTAAATTGGAAAAAATCCTTACAGTACGTTTTACGAGCACTGAAAACAGCGTTAGATTGAATATGGAGCTTTTGAAACCACTGCGAGAGCAGGTTTGCAATCTTGCCTTGAGGGCCATCCACGCAGAAATGGCTGTTGCACATGATTCAGTTGGCAAAAAAGTTATTTCTACGGCAGTTGTTTTTGACAACATACGAATAGACACGACATTGCTTCGTAGAATGCTGGTTTCCGGTATATCAGCAAAGCAAAAGTTAGCATTTCTTGCAGCAACTGTGAACGACGGAGCACGCTCGTTCTTTGATTTTCTGTCCGCCGCTGCGGATGACAGTCTAAATGAGTCGGAAAGCGTTGCCAAGCATCTTATTGGCCTTATTCATATACTTGAAGTGTTACACGCAATCAGTGAAAAGATTTCAGTCAAACTCCAGGAGATATCGATTCCAGTCTCAAAATACTCCCCTGAGCTTTTTACCGAGATGACTTCAAGAGTTCAAAAGCTCCTAGACAATAAAAGTGTTGAACATGCCAAGGCAATACGAAACTATGCCCTGTTGGAAGAGGTCGTGATTTTCGCTAAAAGTATGATTGAAGCAATGAACCTGTTTCAGGCGACGTCAAGCTCGCTCTGATAGCAAAAACAGCAGGTCGGAAACTTACTTTACATTAGAAACGCCAATTTATTTATTCAATATTTTGTTATAAACAGCTTATCTACTTGCTTTGATAAATTCGTTTTCTGTAATGGTAACATTTCTTTAAAATGAGCAGATTTGTACTGTTCTTAATAATTCAGTTACGTAGCTTTATCACCTGAAATAGGAATTACGTTGAAATATAAGCAGAAGAAAGCAATCAATGATTCTTAGCAGCTCGTCTTTTCCAGGAACGCCAAGGGTCTTTCCCGTGCTAAATTTATGCATTATGGAAATACTTAAAGGATGTACGAAAAAAATGTTATCAGAATAAAGGCAGTTATTCTGAAACCGCACAAAAGTTATCGAAGTTGACGTATTTCCTTAGAATTACACGGTTCCTGTTATAAATTAGATTGCTTTTGCTATAAGAAACACTATCCCCAGACTCGATAAGAACATGTCTATCTGTTGAACCTTTTTGTGATTTCAGCGTACACTTCAAAGAACTTTTTCACATCCAACATTATATTTATACTTTATTTATATTCCATATACCGTTATTCTATAAGATGTTACCCTATAAAGTATTTCTTATCTAAATTTGCTACCTAGCATCCGATGGCAGATTCTAGGGCACTGAGAAGCTGTGCTTATCATCCGAGCGGTGTCCTGGTCCTTCCTTTCGATTTGGCCATACATTGTGATTCCTACACCTGGAATTATAGAGAGCTGGCGACTCTCCTCAATCTGAGTGAAAGCTTTGTCAAGCCAGGGAATCGAGCCCTAGACCGACATTTGGATCCGTAGTCCGCGCCTCTAGACACTGGGTTATACTCGCACCAACGCTTACAAAGAAGAGATTAATTCAATAATCCTTAGATACTTTTGTGATAAAAACCTTTCAAAAGTATCTTTCATAAAAAACAACAGAAAATTCTCTCCTTTTCATCGGTCATTATGGAACATCCGTCATTTTTTTCTTATTTCATACTTCATACTTCATATCGAATATTTCAGAACTTAAAGAGAAAGTCAAGCCCCCTTGTCAAAATGTCCTTAAGAGCATATGAGAAAATGGCTTTGCGAGACCAGCTCAAAAACACTTCTTTCATTTCCAAAGAGTCACGAAGTTTCATAGAGTCATATTTGCTTAACAATTATTAACCAAAGAGAAGTGTCTGTTGGCCTACCTTTGAGCAGCTAATCACAACAGCTATCATTCTTAGAGCGTTTGATTAAGTATGAAGTAAATATGGTCAAATGAAAATAGATTCCAATTTCAACCAAAGCAAAAGTTTCACGTCGAAAATTCGTCACACTTCATCACATCCAGATGAAGGCTGAACAATGCTTGCATCTCACGGGAAAGGTTAAGGGCAAGAGAGAGACGAAAAACAGATAAGGGTATTTGTCAAGAAGGCAGGTGAGGGCATATAAGAGCCTATGGGAGCAGTAAGGGGCATATAGGGACAGGTTTGAGCAGATAGGAGCAGATGCGGACAACTTGGACCGAGTGAGGGGATACGGGGGGCAGCATGGGGTAAAACGTTCAGAATTCATGAACAGGAGGAACATTTTTCATCTGTCAAGGCTAATACGTAAAACTATTGAAGAAACCATCTCAAGATTTGACCAAAAGATTTAGAAGGCTCTCGACAGACCTGTTTCGAATTGTGCTAAGCACAGATCTATTATAACAAGCAATAACGCAAAATGAAGGGATATCTTTACACTGCATAAATGATTGCTTACCGTAGCCTTTCCGTAGGATGACCTCTGGAGCGATATAATCTGGGGTCCCAAAAAGTTGCACATCGTCAAACTCTTGTGCGCTTTGTTCATAAATATTCGTAGTCACTGAAATATAGATGGCCGGCAAATTAAAACTCTAATCATTCGTATTTCAGGCCTTGAAAACTGAATCAATTTTTTTCTCATATGTTTACAGTAATGGTGATGGATATTTACAGAATGAAAGCACTTGTAAATATAATTGAAGTAATTTGGAACAATTTAAATTGAAAGTCTTGTAGTACTTATAACAAACGTGATGAAGTAAGACTATAACAAACAATAGACCATGTTCGCTACAATACTGATACGCGCGATTAGATAAAATCTTTACAGATTAAAATGTTCAAAAAATAAGACCATTAGGACCGCCGAACAAGTGGGGTTCACTCCCTAAACAGTAGACTGTCGTCAACTTTGGGACAAATTCAGTCCAGGTTTGTAAGTGTAGGATTTGGCAGTTCATGATTTACATATATAAGCAACTTTTCATTTTGTCAAAGTCATCCCATCCAGTGAAATTCTTACAAACAGCAGTAGCCTTAAAAATATTTTTGCACCTTGGGAAACATCTCTATATTTGTTATAACAATGGCAGTACCTACGGCGCACCCTTTTGTTGCCAAACTGACAGGTTGCACCGCCATAGTTTCAATTTTTTTACAGTTCTGGTCTCATACGATTCACAAAATGCAAATTCTACAACCATCTTCTTCAGCGCTGATTTTCTAAATTTGAAATACCCGAGAGAACTTTTAAGATTCTTAAGATTTTTAAGCATACTGGGAAACTAATGGCGTGAACATGACCACCTATAGCAGATGCAGCCTCACTTTTTCTTGATTGTCAATGATTTTGCAATGGAAAAAAATGAAAAAAAAATAAAAAATTTTGTCATTTTTTCGCAAACATAGTCGATAAAAAGAGAGATACTGATAATGGGACTTGGTGACGACTATCTTTTAGGGAATAACGAAAACAAACTTACGTTTCATTAATCCAATTTTTGACAGGCCAAAGTCCGTGAGCTTAATATGACCAATCGCAGTTATAAGCAAGCTGAAAGTTTAAAGAAACAATTAATTTGATATTCACTAGTCCCAAACAACACAAACAATAAATGCTTTGACATATCCTTTGAGATCACAGATTTTCTGCATGCTCAGCTGGCCTTGAACAAAGAGATCGAAGGAGTAAACAGTATTGTAAACAGCAAGTCAATAAAAAAGAGGTAGTAAAGAGGGGTAAGGGGGACAAGGGGGCCTGGCCAATTGGAAATAAAAGGTGTGCACGTGGCTTTGGGCTTTGTAGAAAGGCTTTGCAGATAAGGAATTTAACATCTAACAAAAGTTTGTCCTGCCAAAGAAAAATAGTTGGATTGATCTCTTGTTTTAGATAGAATCTATTCGGGAGTCCTATATCAAAAGCTAGGACCGGGTATGGTTTATCAGTCATCGACCATCGGCAGTCCTTAAAGGAAGAGCTAAAAGGTTTCTATAAAAAATATTTCAACAATACTTTTTTCACCTTGCTCATTTTCCTGGTTTTTAAGTCCACGCTATTACGTAGCGAAAGTTTGCCTTTACCCATAAAGAACATCTAAAGATCACACGATTATGATACCGTTGTACACGGCAGAATATGAGATAGATGAAGGACAAGGACTCACTTGTCGGGTTTCAGGTCTCTGTGGATAATTCCATAATTGTGTATGTACTCTACAGCTAAAACTGTCTCAGCAAAATATAGCCTAGTAAGATGAGCAGGTCAGTAAGAAAAGATAATAGAGTTCTAAAGTGATGACGTTACAAAATCTATTTTTAGAATTTTTTAATTTGGTAACCTGAAAGAGCATCATGAGATCCCTCTAACTACGCAACATCAGTCAAATGTGTTACGAATTGGCTGAGATGTGGCCATAAGTGCATTGGTTCTTTCCTCGTCAAACCTTTGTATTTTGGTCTATGTTCATAACTTTATGAACAGAGCGAAGATAACAGGGATTCGTTAGCAAACTTCAAATCTTTCATTGGCAACATCTCAACTGATTTTGGACATATTTGACTAATTTTGCATATTTCGAAGTATTTCATGGTGATCTTTTAGGTTATGTGGTTGAAATTCAAAAATTCAAAAAATAGGTTTTTGGTGACGTCACACTTTGGAGCTGTATTGTCCAATATGAAGAAAGATAAGAAATTACAGCCGACCTCTTTTGACATTTATAGAGGACTGCGCTGAATAAACCGGAACAAAACTCTAATGTAACGAAGCACCTATTGGCGATCGGGAACGCCAAAAATTTTGGGCTCAGGCAATCACAGTCAAACTAAAATTACAACAATGCTGTGATCTTGTCATATCAAAATAAATCCTTAGGAACTACTTTGTTATTAGACATAGGAGTATAGAGCAATGGTTAAGGACTCATTCACCACCTCCATTGACTCAATATGCAAACTGAAAATCTATCAAAAAATTGTAACTAGGCTACAATCTGTAAACATTATAATGAAGAATGGAAGTTGAGTAAGTAAACGCACATAAGATATACAAAAGAGTTACGTAGGAAATTGAGTTACCTGGCCATATCCAGTGGAAGAGGACCCATGTTTTTGAGCAGCGAAGCACAATCACCCCCTTCGACATACTCCATGAGAAAACAAAGGTGTTTCTGTTCAAACAAAAAAGGTGTGAATAGAGAGAAATATAGATAGAGAGAGTCCTTTTGAAAGAAGTTTAAGCACTTCCTTGCATACTTCAATCGATCCTAGAATCTTGATTAGCAATAATAGCAAAAAACTCCAATTTTGACACAAATATAGTTAGCAAAGATAATTCTTTTCATATCCTTTAAGAAATCCACGCATTAAATTTTCGTCTAACATTTTTTGAGGATCATCAGCATTCTCCTCCAAACACAAATTATTAAGAGCGGAGAGAAATTGTAAACCATGGCACATAAATGAATATTTGAAACAAAAGCATTTCTTATAGTTTTACTCACCCTTGTTTCAAATGTGCAGACGAGTGTAACTACAAATGGGTTCTCAGCAAAGGTCATAATGTCCCTTTCATTGAAAACTTGTTGTACCTTCAGCAAATGAGAATATCGAAGACAAATGATTAGCAATTACACGGTTGAAATTTAAACTTCGATTCTTAACACTAAAACAAGACCATCACCACGTCTTTTTCGAAATTAATGACTTAATTAGTATTTTTATATTTTTGTTTATTAAGAATCAAAACAAAAAATTTTCTAAAAGGTAAACACACACTATTCAAAACCAATTTTTAAGAAAAAAACAGCATAAAAATAAAAATCTAAGACTATTTTAAGTCATGTTCAAAAACAATATTTGAGATGCAAACAAGTTACCTGATTTTTATGCATTAAATGATGTTTGTTCATCTTCTTTAAGGCGAACCTTTCCCTGTTGGTTTTGTGTCGTACCAGGAAAACGGACCTGGAAAATTCAAAATAAACACCTCATTGGCAATTAAATCAATATTAAGCTTGTACCTGCAACTCATATAAAAAAAGAGGTATAAAAAATTCACCCTTCTACAGGAAGTCACAAACTGTTCTGTTTCAATAGATAAATTCAATATGTAACTTCGATAAATTCGTAAAAATACAACAAGGAAGGTAAACACACAATAATGAATCTGTGTTCCCATTTATTCTTATGCACCCTTGACAACATTATCTTGATGATTATAATAAAAGCCTTAGATTTCATTAAACAAACAGCAATGGTCCATATCAAATGATGACTAAAATCGACCTTCTAAGATATATTTGTAGATCTAGTATATACAGCATGTATTTCCAACATAGATGATTGACAGCAATATGACTACACAATGATTGACAGGTTAATGATTGACAGCAATATGACTACACAATGATTGACAGGTTAATGATTGACAGCAATATGACTCACCCATAAGCACCATTGCTAATCAGCTTGCAGTACTCAAAATCATTCTCCGTTGGTTTAGCTTCAACTTCCTTTGGAGCAGCTGGAGCCTGCAACCAATATTCATAATTCTTATGCAGATTTGCAAAATTTTTTAAATACAAAAAATGGCAAATCCCGATCTATATGCCTTGTACCAAATGTGATATCGGATTCAGAGTTTTAAAACTCGGTGCCAGCATTATCGCTCGCAAATCAGTGTCAAGACCTGCAACTGCTCTATTCGGCAATCGGAAACTACTTTTTAAAGAGAGAAATGGAAAGCTACAAGTGGGAAATAATAAGGAATCATAGAAGATGAAATACTCTAGGGGCATACAATGACTTCAAAAACAATCCAGATGAACACAATGCCAAGATGAAATTAATTACTGTCTTAAGCATAGAGAAATTGAGCTGGTAAAATATTATTTATTGACAAAGATTAGTTCTAATACCTGCTCTGCAGAGCCGCCTATACCATCGATTCCTTCTTCTGGTACTGATTCAATCGGCTGCTGAACCCCTAGTTTGAACTTTATGTACGCTTCCATGTCAATGGGTAAATGCTTTTCCGTGATAACCTGCTCCTCCATTTCTAAGCTGTTCATGAATTCGCCAGGATTAAATCCCTGTTTGAGGTAAACACATGTCAATTCTCAGACTTTTTGTACAAAAAAGGTTCTTTAATGCTGTAATCTAGGTCTTAGCATAAGACGTACACAATCGATTTTTGAAATCTATAATTAAAGCCATCACAAAGATAGGAATCAGTGGCGGCCTGGCAGGGGGGGCCAGGGCCCTCCCAGCTGACTTTTTTATAGGGGCGCCAAAGCTTGTATAAGGCGCCGAAAACTCGAAAAAAGTTTGATACGACCGACTTGTCTGATTATTAGGTCTCTAGGAGGTCAGCAGAGACAAAGAAGACGCCATAAAGTTCAAAACTTTATTTGGGCGCATGCCGCCATACCCTTTTGAACAGTCTCACTTCAAGGACACGTCTTTGTGCCCCTTCAGTACTGTATTATCCAGACAAAACATTTGTAATGTTCGCAGGGGCGAAAAAATAAATCAATTTTTTAGAGGATTGTCAGGAAACTAACAGTTAAATTCTTTTGTGTGGAGAACAGAGCACTTATAGTGCACACAGACTGTGTTTAGAGTGTCGGGGGACAGTCTGTGTTCAGGATGTCCGGACTCATGTCCCCCTTCCAGGGAAAATTTTGATTTTCGATGAGTCTCTTTGGCTCTGCTGGCCTTCAGAGACCTAATTAACAGACAACTCGGTTGTTTAATTGCTTTATCCTCGATTAGTCCATAAGTTATATCTCAAGTCGCAAGATAACAAGAAATAACGTTAAAAAGTGCATTCAAAGCTAAAACATAATAAAAACCAGCTCTTATTAGGTTTCTTCATAAAGGATAAATTAAACAGATGACTTTTAACTCAAAACATTGACTTCATGTTTCTAACGCGTAGATTCCTCGGGCTTCTTTTTCAAGAGGCATACATTGATTTGACAAGAAAGTTGGGTCGGGCCTAATTTTCTTAACGGTTGCGTTTTGTTTGGCCTTTAATAATATTTCTTTAAAGTTCGATGGAATATTTACTTCATTTTGTATCAAATGACATGATGCATTCAAAGATATGTTAGAAACGCATTTTATAGCCTAATGAGTAACTGGAATCCTTCACTTATTGGCTAGGGCTGACTCTTTCCATTATTTGTTACCCCTACACTCCCCTAATTTGTTACCCCTACACTTGTTTAGCTGCCCCAAATTACAAGTTTAGGAAAACAAAGGTAAATGTTTTATCTGGCGCTTTGGATTCCCCTCCAAGGTGCCAAATGAACACAACCAAAGAGAACAAAACCCCCATTCTACCACATCGTAAGGTCTCTTGACAGTTCCCCAAACATGTTTTTGACACATGTTTATTTAGTTTATCTACTTGGATTGGCTCCTAAGAGACAGTCAATTTTGTACGTGAGTCGGTCCAACTTGTACTGACACCCCCATGAAAAATTATTTTATTTGCATCCCTGTGCTCATGTGGGGGTCAGTAGATTTTGTCTCTTTGCTTCATTTCTCATGGAAGGACCGATTTGTCTCGACGATACAAAGATAGGATAGATTCTTTTCCCTATTACAAAGTAATGAAATCCATTTTAAGACTGGAATTAATCAAACGCAATAAAAGCATTTCTTAAAAATAGCAGAATTTTAAAAAGATTTCAAGGAAATGACTGCAAGAAATATTTTGAAATATATTTTAAGCTTATCTAAAGGATGTGGTGGCAAAAATTTTTAGCTTGCTACGCTCGCAAGGAAGCCTCTATCCAGAGTTATACCAAGGGCCTCCGACAACCTCTCGCCGACCCTTCCCAATGTTGGTTTTATAGTCAAATAAAGCTATTAACTCGAGCCTCCCCCCCCCCCACTTTGAATTTCTTGGCACCGCCCCTTGACTGCCAATATTTTCAGGAAAAAGACAATAGTGTTAATTATGGAGGGCGCCATTTTGATGCTGGCCCCCCTAGGCGAAAAGGGCCAGGCCGCCACTGACAGGAATATTGATTAAAGAGAATATTTTGGAAGTAACTGCTTACCAGACACTCCAAGAGCCTCGCAGGTCTGGAAATTATCCATTCTAGTTTTTGCACCATCATTTGAACTGGGTCTAAAGTGTGGCTGGTTTTGCTTGTGGCCTGAAAGGCAAATACAATGGTGCTGAGGAACAATGCCTAAAATGATGCCTAAAATGATGCATATGATGATGCCAACAATGATGCCAAAAATGATACCAAAAGTGATGCCTAAAATGGCGAAGAAAGGATTCATAAATGTTGTCAGAAATGATGCCAATGATGCTACAATGATGCCGAAAGTGCTGCCTAAAATGATGCTTAAAACGGAGCAAAAAAGATGAAAAATATGTAACAAAGTTCTGATTTTTATGAAAGGCTATAAAAAGGCTCCGCGGAGCGTTGTGAAAAGTGGGGATCTAAAAAAGTGAGGGCTTAAACCGAATAACTGGTGATTCATTCGTAAATTTTTTGCATTTTTGGCAAAAAGCCTGGTAAAAAACTGTTGTTAAAAGCATTAAGAATTGACTATATTTGTGGCGAATGCATATCATATTTTCATTTGCATGAAATGTTTTGACAATAAAGGCATTTGTGCAAAAAGATCTAATGTGTATGACTTAGTTTGGTAACTTTCTGTTTATGTCCTTCGATGGATCATGAAATTGTATTTCAACATTGTTCTTTCATTCAGGACAGAAAGCATCATAGGTAAAAAGGCAAATTCTGTAAGATCAGTAACCTCGTGAATAAGTCTTTCCATTGCATCAGAAACGCCATAAAAGTAATCGCTTGTAAAGTTTGCTTCTGGATCTTGTGATTTCCGCAGAATTTCTTTCGCAATTCCAACAATCTAACAAAAAAAGAACTCTGTTATCTTTCGGGAAAAATTGAGGATATATTCAAGATTCAATCTGGGAAGCAGACTTTCATTTCAAGAAGAAATGCAATAAAATAAGATAAATGCGGTTAAACAAGAAACAAGGGTTTTACTTAAACTGGCTAATTATCAACGGATAAGTTTTCAGATTCATTCTCGCAATAGATTCAACGATAGAACGTAGAGATAATTTACAGCACCCACGACTAAACATTATCTTGAATTTGCATGAAATATCATCTCGTTTTTTCATAGCATCGTAGCTTCAACTTAATTACCTGATGTCCAACAAAATTCAAAGCAGGGTCAGGGTAGTTGATGTTGATCTCCTCTGTAGAGTAGCTGTCGATGAAGTCCTGTAAAACATATATTATTTTATATTATCCAAAGTATATTACCTAAATACTTTGTCATGCAGAAAGCTAATGAAATAGGAAGTGGGAGAAGCAGGATTGTCGAATCAAGCAGCAGTGGAATGTGTCCCACATTTTTTGGAACACGTTCTACCCCTTCCTATCTATGCCACTCCAACTTTATAATTATTCCCTAGGGCTTATTTTCAATGCACCAAATGAAGGGGGCATTGCTAAAATCGACCTTGCAAAGTGATGCTACTGTTTAAGTTTTTGGCAGTGATTGGAATTCTGTTGATTCTGCTAAACAACTGTTTATGTTGCCACAAAAAAACACAAAGTTCATCCACCATAACTTTATCACAAAGAATCGTAATTTTTATTGGAACTCTTGTTCAATATTTATTGGAAGTTTTCACCAACTGAATTTAGAATGCCATTTTTTGTTTAGTGTGTGGCTCTCCTTCAAGGTAAAATATTAGGCAAAACGTATTTCAGTGACCTGAACCCGTTGTAATTGGTTTTTGGTCATTAATTTTCTGAAGGAGAAAGGAAAAAATTTATCTATGACTTTGTAAAAGTGCTTGTCGAATTTATCTTTGCCTTACACTAGATTATCACATAAGTGGCAATCCGCCCTTCCCTACAAAAAAATGATAATCAGGGGTTTCCCCAGGGCTTAGCTCCATTGCTCCATTGCTGCTCCATAGAAAATGCTCCATTGCTCTTGCCACAAGATACAAACGTGAGCTCTTGAACAGGGAACGTTTGCGAAAAGGGTGCGATCATTTACTGATAGGAGCTATCTAATTTCGTAAAACAATGTCTCAGTCAAGCAACCTTGGAAAACCTTAAAGACTACTAAAAGATGAGAGGGGGGAGGGAAAAATTGAAACGGAAATGGCGTAAAAGCAAAAGTTCGGTAAAAAGGCTGGGTGTTCAAAAAGAAAATAGTTTCCCCCTGTCTCACAATCTAATGGTAATCCTTGGTCAGTCAGTTATACCTTGCCGATTTTTAAAGTCAAAATTCCAACAGAAGTTGAAAAATGATCTTGAAGAAAATTGCTGAGATTAGTGATAAAAGCGAATGAAAAAATAAGGACAAAATTAACGTACTTGAAGCCTTTCTTCCATCTGTAGTTTTGCTTTTGGAAATCTTTCGTTGTAAAGATTTGTTAGTGCAGAAATATCATCTTCCCCTCTGGTCGGGCTATTGGTAAAAGTAAATCATTCATCGTTAAACTTGGGGAAACTATAAATCTTCAGGGTATCCCAAAACAATACAGAACTAGAATCATTGCTCTGTACTAAACTAAGTAATAAAGCTACCACCTAGGAAAGACGGTGTTGAGATTTTATACCCCCTACCCCCTGCTCAACCTTGGCATATCTGATACAAAAAAGCAACCGCTCCAACTTTTATAAGGCAAGAAGGGGGTAGAGCTTCGACTAAACATGCATATGATTGGAAACGTGCATAGGGGTTTATCTCAACAATGAAAGCTCCATATGAGAAACATAAACCGCAATTTATAATAACCTGCCAACAATGACAAAGACATTATTGCGTCAATAGAACCCCAATAACAACTTCGCACTCTACACCATCAAAGCCCCTATGAATAATGTTGGCAACAATATACATAGTATTAGACGAAATCATAGCGTATTTAATTTCTGAATATAGTGTATTGCTGAGCATTTACCTCAAACTCCGTGATCTGAGTTTAAAACCAGCAGGTCTTGGCGACCGCGGTCTGCCATGATGAAACTCGTCATCTATATCACTAAGTGTGCTGTCGTGGCTATTAACAAAAATAGAAAGGTTAAGAAAAGATATAATTACAGTAAGTACATATATCTAAATCACAACTTTTGCAGATTCCCAGATCAACTGCATCCAAAACCGGCCACTTTAAGGCTCTAATCCATTAAGGGGATGCCTGCTGTAATCACCTGACAATGGACGATCTAGGTTTTATTTCAAACTTTGGAAATTGGAAAAAGTTTATAACGAGGAAAACAAACATTCGTGCACCGCTCGACTCTGAAATTACAATTTTTCTCCGTCGCAGACTTTCTACGTGAGCTACAATCCTTGACAAAAGTTCTTGGAACACCCTGCGACCAATGAAAGATTTAGAAGAAATAAAGGTTTCCACCCGTAAGATACAGAAATATCCCCGCAAAAACAACGTTGGTTGAAAATCCTATTACTTACCCTAGCTGATAAAGTGACATTGGACGAATTTCAATGTTTGAAACTGTTGTTATTCAACATTGCTTCAAGGGGGAGAGGGGGATGCTACTGGAGTTATGCGAAATTTTAGCTTGGTGTACCAAGACTTTTGGCAAAGATACTAGATCTGAGTTAATTCGTACAGCAGCCGCGTTAAACAGACAACAATGATAAAAAACATAAACTGCCATATACTTCAATTATTACTTAAACCTCCTTGCTATAGGCTGCTTTGTAAATGAAAAGAGGAACGTTCAACAAACATAAGATGTTTACAGCATTTGTGCTTGAAAATGCTATGTAAATTTAAAGTGCTTAAAAACTATTACTGCAATTCTATAAATAAACTAAAATAACGTTTTAGAAATGCTGATATTCGATCTATTAAAGCTGGCTTCACAAATAAAAGAATGGAAAGAAAGAAAGAAAACGAACCTAAACTGATGAGAAAACCAAATATCTTCGTGTGCCCCCTTAAAAAGAATAGCGAAAAATTAAGCGAAGTGAATGGAGAAGAATAAGTTGTAAAACATCCTAATTACAGTCATATAAACGTCCTGCAAGAATCATCACCAAAGTATTGAATGGAATGGAAACATATTTATTAACACATTGAATGGAAATATTTGAGGTCTTTTCGCTACAGTGCCTGAATCTTTTAATTTTAAAACATCAAAATTATTCTGAACATTTCAGTCGTATTCTGAAGAACTAAATAGCTATTTTGATAAAATTTTCTTAAAGTGTCATTGATAGCTTGGGTGCGATTGATTTTATTTTAAAATATATTTGATTTCCTAATTCAAGGTAAGCAATTCATGTAACTGTAAAAGGAAAATATAAATTAGCTTCTTGGTAATTCACATTCTTGAGTAATCGTCACTTTTTACTCGTCTAAAATCTGTTTTTAATAAGTTTTGTTTTTCCTTTTTTCTTAAAATAATTAATTGATTAACTTATTAATTCATTTATGATCCAACCACCCAGCCTTAAAATCCGATTTGAAATACTATTTTACCAGCTTTCCACTTTGCACTGTAATATTTCAAACACCAAAAAATTAGAACACTAGGGAAGTTTTCATTGCCAAGATAACATTGGTTAAAATAAACTTACAATTTTTTCTTGCGACGATGTCCTTGACTATAAAAAAGATGAAAATATAAAAGGTGGAAAGATGTAAACAAGTTTTAGTGAGACTTTACAAACATTTAAGAATTTATCTGACCAGCCGTGAAAGTTTTATCGAAACAAGGCAATTAGAAAGAAATTAATTAACGTAACGTTAGATGGTTCTATCATATAATGAATGGGGGAGTCTAAAAACAGACTTGGTCTAGCAGTCGAAAGCTTCAAATAACAACTGGTGTGATATGATTAGTAATGGATCAATATTTGGCTGTACAGTTAAATCCTGTTAAGTTGGGCGTTCAAGAGGTGAAGGAACTGGTCCGACTTGGCAATATCTGACCAATCCCGGGTACGACTTTTGACTTGAATAAGATAAGGAAATTTAACAGGAATTGCAAATCATTCTGACTTAGTGAAAGTCGATTGTGCAAGCAAATTGACACCTGTCTAAAATTTAGTCGTAAAACCGCATAAAAAATAACCCCCGTATACTTCTTAGCAATCAAAAAAAAATTTGCCGGCTACAGAGTTGTATCCTTTGACCAGAGCTTCCGTTACCTTTAAAAGAACATTCACTACAAGTACTTCAGCATTTCCAGTAACATTGGAATGCTTGGTGGCTTCACAAGCAGCATATCGAGCAAAATATTACACACATTTAGAAATAACAAGCTTTTTAACTAAAGTTAGCACCTACCGACATGCCAGACGAGCCTGGAGTATTGGTGCTGTACCCTGATGAGTTCAGGGATGCAACAGACCATCTCCTTCCAGCTTGCAGACTGCAAAGATAAATCAGTATAATTGAAAATCGATTGATTAAGAAGATCTACAGGTTAAATTCTTCTTGCCAGCACTGTATAGGATATCCGATACAGAAAACCTAAAGGTTTGAGTATAGCAATGCATGAATAAATCTTTATCTCTGGTTGGTCAGTTTTTGGTACCTCTCAATATTGCCACCGTTTGTGATAAAGGAAGGTGACTTGCGAACTAGCTACCTGTGTAAAAAGAACGCGGGATTCGATGTTTTTGATGCTTCCAGGAGTCGAAGGGCATTAGTTACAAACTGGGCAACCACCAAGAAAGAGGTGACCAAGCATTTACCAATAAAGAATAGCCAAAGTCGTAACCTAGTGGCCATTCTGCTGATAAAGATAGTACGTTAGCGGCAATTTAGTCAAGCTGACTTTCAATTAAACTGTTCTGCCTTTGCAGTTTCAAGCATATCTTCGTCTCAACGGTCGCACATCGAAGCGTGGCTCAATATTTACGTTGGTTAGGACTGTTATATGTTGTTTTAGATGATGATGCGTCTAGGACAGAGTTACTCTAAGCCGCTGCCAGAATAATAATGCAATTTAAGGTGGCTCACCAAGAAAAACCACCTACAATGGACTTAGCTTAAACCTATAAGTTTGTTCAAGGGGAGAAATTTGCTCATTTTTTTCAACATTCTAAAAACGACGAAAATTTCGCAATAGTGTTAGATAAAGATGACGTAATAATCTATAATTAGAAATCTTCATTTGGTCACTCAATCTGAAAGACAATGAAAAACAATCCTACGTATGAAAAAACAGGTGAAATGGAATCATTTCAAAACACTTTCATTTGGTCTTGCTTTTAAAATCTACGGGCCAAAATTCAGTAACAATGTCATGGCAAACTTACGGTTTTTCAATGGCCATAACACAGATGGCCATACCTCAGCCAATCTGGAACAGAGTTACTGATTTTGCACGTCTAGAAGTATTCTACAATGTTTAAGAATTCCAAAAAAATCTATTTTCAAGACTTAATACTTCTCATTGGTTAGCAGTTTTCCTTACTTATACACAAGGCAGCGGTTCTAGTCTTTATTAAGATTGTGCTAATAAAGATATTACATCGATTACCTTCTTCCAAATGGAAACAGCATCGGGTTCTGGAAAGTGCTACATGGTGAAAGCTGGGATGGGAAGTCGTCAGAACTATCTGCAAAGCAGGTGCAAACGAAATGTTATGACTTGCAGTTTTGATTTGTGAGTATGCAACATAGCTAGAGGCCAACACCCATTTAAATGTTTTATTATTGAGATAATCTACGGAAAGTAAACACGAGGAAAGGATTTAAAACAACATGAGACAGAAAAAAATGGAAAATCTGGTTGTTTTCTTGATAGCATGCGGTAAAAACAAAAAAACAGGTGAGGATTATGTCTTAAATGATAGCTTCGTGATTTAGAATTAAAGCAAGAACGCTGAATATCATATGAATAACGAAACGTTTTGCAAAACATACAGTGCTTTAGGCGATATAGAAGAAAGGACTTCAGAGTAATCTCGACAAAATTAACTATTAATGGAGCCAAAAAGCAGTGCGTTATACGTCAGTTTTCAAAAACGACTTAAGCCGCCCCCTCCCTTTGGAACAATGTTGGTTTGCTAAAAAACCAAATAAGACTAGGGAGCACGTTTTTTCCAGCATTCGCATGACATTTTTCTTAACTATCAACATTATTCAGGGGGGAGGGGACAGAAGTAGTATAAATAGAAAAACAAAGTACGCAAATTGCTTGGTGTTTAACAAAACGTAAATTGATGGGTGTTCCAAGTACATTTGGCAGGCTTTTTAGCAACATTCCAGGGGGGGGGATTCTTGGTCTGATTTCAGATGATTGTTGTTTGGGATAAATCTGGACAAAAAATTATGGTAAAGACATTTGGAAACTTTTGGGTTTTATCGTTCCGAAACCACAACACGTAAAGTATTCATTGTTTGCAGTAAAGTATTCATGTAATCGTTGATATGAAAATCTAATTCGTTTCAAAAAGTCGAACTCTCCTATCTGCTATTTTCGAAGTGCTGAAATGTTTTGGAAAAAAATGCTACAAAAACATCGTTGCTACGAGCAGCTGCTAACCGTTCACTGCTGAAACTGCGCAAAACAAGCATTTTGGCCGGGTATGCTTTCTTTTACTCATATAATATTTACATTATTTCAACTTTTTGAACAACAAAAGCCATACACGAGTTGGTTTGAATTTTTCCTTGCATGCAGCTTCGATTAATTTTTTATCAAGGTGAAAATCTCGTTCAATTAAGGTCTAAATGCAGTCGTTTTTCTCAAAAACAACTAAGAAATGTGTTTTTACAACGAAACAACTTTTAAAATATGATTCCGAGATTGTGACAAGAGCCACATGCGCAGAAATTTCAAATAAAAGGGAGATGGGTAGATTTTGAACTATACTGTGTGATATCTGACATACATTTAAGGGCCTGTGTTAACAGCTGTGGCCAAATTTTAACTTCAGATAACTCTAATTCGATATTGACCAGCCCTGAAAAACTATCTTCATCACCACTTTTATCGACAATACAAGCAATGATGTTTTTTGAGAAAATGTTCGGTTAATCCGTCGCTAGTCGATAATGTGTCTGTGTGAATACAATTGTGCAATGACAGTGGACAATGCGCAAGCTTGTGGAGCGTAAGCGGGGAGATTTTAGCCGGCCGCTGACAGCCAGTGTGAAAATACCTTAAAGATTTTGAACGTAGTTTGCCGCACATAGCACGAATGGCCCTTTGTCGTCAACGACCAAAAGAATCAGTCATTTCATTTCAAACTGAAAACAACATTCTTTAAAAATATTATTAGCCAAACTAGTGTTCTAATTATACTAGCTTTTGAAAATTATTATTCACCGGTCTGTCAAAGTGCACGATTCTGTATAGACAGAGCTGTATACGCTTCTGGTGTATAGAACAGGACGGATCCTAGTTGAAAATCCGAGTTTAATTTTCAATGCGGTCATCAAGTAACGTCAAAGAGCAGTTGCCTGTTGATAGCATTCAGCTTGAAACTGTTCTTTAACCCAAACTGATCCTTACTCAAACTGACCTTTACCCAAACTGGCCTTTACCCAAACTGATCCTTACCCAAACTGGCCCTTACCCAAACTGGCCCTTACCCAAACTGGCCTTTACCCAAACTGGCCTCTACCCAAACTGGCCTTTACTCAAACTGGCCCTTACCCAAACTGACCTTTACCCGAACTGGCCTTTACCCCAATTGGCCTTTACCCAAACTGGCCTTTACCCAAATTGGCCTTTACCCAAACTGGCCCTTACCCAAATTGGCCCTTACCTAAACTGGCCTTTACCCAAACTTGCCTTTACCCAAATTGGCCTTTACCCAAACTGGCATTTACCCAAACTGGCCCTTACCCAAACTGGCCTTTACCCAAATTGGCCCTTACCCAAACTGGCCTTTACCCAAACTGGCATTTACCCAAACTGGCCTTTACTCAAACTGGCCCTTACCCAAACTGGCCTTTACCCAAACTTGCCTTTACCCAAACTGGGCCTTTCCCCCAAAAAATGGCCTTCCAATAGCCAACAGAATTTTGGCCTCACTCCAAACTGGCCTTTACCCAAAGCTGGCCCTTACCCAAACTTGCCTTTACCCAACTGGCCTTTACCCAACTCGGGCCTTTTACAACTGCCCTTACCTCAAACTGCTTTACCCAAACTGGCCTTACCCAAACTGGCCTTTACCAAACTGGCCTCTAACCTAAAACTGGCCTTTACCAACTTGCCTTTGCCAATTCTGAGCTTTATCCAAACTGCCCTATTACCCAAACTGTGCCTTATGTACCAACTTGGCCTTTCAAACTGCCGTTACCCAGAACTGGGCCTTTAACACAACTGGTCCTTACCCAAACTTGCCTTTCCACGGCCTAACCGGTACTGGCATTTACACCAAGACTGGCCTTTAAACCAACTGGCCTACTCACCTGGCTTTACTCCAAACTGGCTATCACCCAAATGGCTTTACCCGAAAACTGGCTATTAACCACAAACATTGCCTTTACCCAAACTGGCCCACTTTACCGCAAACGGCCTTGTAACCAAACTGGCCTTTACCCCAAACGGCCTGGGGTACCGCAGAAGGACTGGGCTTATCACCGTCAAACTTGCCTTTACCCAAATTGACCCGTTTACCTAAAACGTGGCGGCCTTTAACCAAACTGGCCTTTAAACCAACTGGTCCTTTACCTCAAACGGCTATTAAACCC